GATCCTATGTAATGATTCGGGATACAATGACTCACCATAATCAACGCCACTTTTTTACCAATCAATAGAGACTCAACAAAAATTTCACAATTTTTTCAGTTTTACATATATATTAGTACATATATTTTTTTATACGTCAATCATCGACTCTGTTTGAGCTCAAATTTTTTTTTTTTTTTTGGGTATATTACAGTGTGTGCTCTGTGCTGTGTACACTTCTTTCCCTATTAGAGTGTCATCAACTCATATAGAACAATGTTTTCATGTCGATACAGACAATTAATTCACAAATTATATTTTCCATTTTCTCTTCAAAGATCAAATCTTGGAACCCCATCATCTCCATTTTCATCATCTCAAATCCAAAATTCAGATTGGTTAAGCTCAAATGAAGTAATCAAGATTTTTCAAAATCTCAAAAACCCAAATTCAGCTCTAACTCTACTCAATCAAATCTCAAATCGAAAAGATTACAGACCCAATGAAGCGATTTATAGTGTGGTTGTTAAAAACTTAGCGATTGCTAAGAATTTTGATGCAATTGAAACCCTTATGGAGAAAATCAAAATCGAAAGGAAATGTAGACTTTCTGATGAGTTTTTCTATAATGTTATTAAGATTTATGGGCATTTAGCTGGTAGAATCAACAGATCAATCGATACCCTTTTCGATATGCCTAATTATAAGTGTTTTCCCAGTGTGAAGACTTTCAATTTCGTACTGAATTTGCTTGTGAATACTAAGCAATTTGATGTTGTTCATAAGGTTTACGTTCGTGGTTCCGAGTTGGGTGTTGAGATTGATGCTTGTTGTTTGAATATAATCATTAAAGGGCTTTGTCGTTGTGGAGAGATAGATGCTGCATATAAGGTGTTTGATGAATTTCCTAAACAGAATTGTTCACCCAATGTTAGAACTTTTTCTACTATAATGCATGCATTATGTGATCATGGTCGTGTTGATGAGGCGTTGAGTTTGTTAGATAGGATGGAGAATGAGAATGTTGAACCAGATGCCATCGTGTTTAACACGTTGATATCGGGGCTGAGGAAGCAAAGGCGAGTTGACGAGGGGATTGATATGTTCAAGAAAGTAATGCTGAAAGGTTGTGATCCGAATCCAGGGACTTATCAGGAGGTGTTGTATGCTTTGCTTGATGCTAAGAGGTTTTTGGAAGCGAAAAATTTCATGTCTGTGATGATCGATAAGAGAGTGAATCCAAGTTTCGAGTCTTATAAGGTGATAGTACATGGCCTTTGTGATGGTAAGCTTGTTGGAGATTTAGATTGGGTATTGAAGCAAATGGTGAGACATGGATTCGTTCCGAGGATGGGTATGTGGAAGAAGATTCTTGGTTGCTTGTTTCCCGATGGAGGTTGTTGTACTACTTGTACTCACAATGAGATTCTTGCAGACTAAGATTAAGAAGTCTGAATCTGAATGCACATCTGAATATACGGAACGAGTATGTGGAGGAAGATTCTTGGTTGCTTGTTTCCTGATGGAGGTTGTTGTACTTCCTATACTTAGGATGATATTCTTGCAGACTAAGATCACATGAAGATTAAGACGTCTGAATCTGAATGCACATCTGAATATACAGGACGAGAACGTGGAGGAAGATTCATGGTAATTGCTTGTTTCTTGATGGAGGTTGTTGTACTACTTGTACTTTACGATGAGATTCTTGCAGACTAAGATCTCATTAAGACCAAAACGTTTGAATCTGAATGCACACACATATGAATATTAAGATGATGCTATCATAGCTCTAGGTCTCATGATAGATAGAACAATAGTTTCTTTCTTATTTTAGAATTCAATTTACATATGTTGAACAAAAACTATTAACCTAGTCTTAGTGATGAGGAGATTGTTTTTCCCACAAAATAGAATGATTATTCTTTTCCTCTAAGCAAACACCAAAACAATATTGAGACACACAATCAACCTCATGATCATCATTTATCTCCATTTCCAAAAATTTCATGTCATCTTTAGGGGTGATAATATCCATCCAATTCAACTCAATATTATTGGATTTTGAATTATTTTGACTTTGATCACAAGGTTGCCAATTATACTCTAAATTGGCAACCCCTTGATTATTTTCTTGAAACAATTCATGTCCCTTCATGGTATGTTGATTGATTTCGACTTCAAGAGATCTAATCACACTCGTTAACCTCTCATCGTCCTGGTCATGATCATCAATGCCTTGAGTTTCGTCAAGCAATGACATGAGAAGGGCGCGGTTTTCTTGAGAGAGATCAAAGTTACTCAAGTCATTGCAAGTCTTGATGCATGACAAATTCTCAGGTACTAAGGTTGCCATATTGTTAAAAAGGAAGAAGAATTTAAATTAAATAGCACCAAACTATACTATTTTTTTTTTTAAAGACAAAAACTTGAACTCAAAAAGAGTAGATGCATCTCTTGAAAGAAGATTTGGCCTTTAAATAGGCACATAAAGGAAACATGCCATTTAGCCACACAAAAGTAATTAATATATATTTCTTTTTTCTTTTTGTTTTTCGCACAATGTTCAATATCAATCTAAAACTCAAACTCAAATTGATTTGGATTTACGTCGTAAAAGTCTCACTTTGATAAGGTACCCTCCCCCAACCAACCAACCAAAAACGAGTTCAATTTCAGAACTGGAATATGAAACCTCTAATTAAGGTCTTGTGGAGTTATTAATTATAAGTGAGACCTTTTAAAAGAGACAAACATGTAATTTAGACGGATATCTTCTGGTTCATATTAAGTTAATTATTGGACTATGACACATTTTTTTAAACAAAATATATTTAAGGGCCTAATTAAATATTACTTTCTATTATTATTCTTTTGATTATTTTCAAATTAGTCTCAACTAAATAAAGGTAAATATGAAAAAAAATCTCAACAATTTTCGTAAACTTTGAATAATTCACTTATTTTGAATCAGGACAAAATTCTTAACTTCACTTAGTATGAACTAGAGGAAGTACTATATATATCAAAGCCTCTAGGCATAATACATAAATAAATATTTTAATTTGGTCTTAGTTGACAACTAAACACTCCAATTTAAAATGCGCATATTAGACATCTTAATTATTTATTAAGTTGACCTCGTGAACATCATAACTTTGAGAATGCACCCTAGTACAGATATCTAGATGCGCATTTTCAAAGTTAAAATATATTATATCAAATTGAAGTATCTATATAGTCACTACGAAAGAGAAGATATCCATCCGCTCATGGAGACTAAGTTAAAAAATCTATCTACGTATTATATCCCAATAAAGATAGTTAAACCAAAGTATAATCCAATAGTAATCAAGTTATGTGGCTGAGGAACTTATCCCTACACTCCACCCTTCAAAATTGTATAATATATGATTCTATGGACCAATAAATTTGAGGGATCAAAAACTAGTGTTCAAACATTCTATTTTTAAATAGCTTTTTGAATCATTAGATGCTCCAATATTTTAACTTTTAGAAAGAAAAAGATATCATTATATTTGAGTGGAAATTTTTCTGTTTATAATTCCACTTAAATTGATGACTATATACTATACACTACACAAACATATTTGCTATATATTAATAATCTCAAAAAAAATATATTATAGCGTGTGTATATAACTTAAATCCTTGCTTTTAGAATTTAATTTCTTCTTATCTTTATCTCATCCAATTAAAGGAAACTAGACTAGAAAGCTCAAATTTAGCATATATATCTTACTTTTCTTTTTAATTTATTTTTAAAAAATGTTAGAAATCGTTTAAATTTTTCATTACTTCAACTAAGATTGTTTTGGATTAAAAATTTTAATTTTTTTTTCTTTTTTAAACTTCGTATTCAATCAAATAAAATGTAAATTAGGACAAATAAAATATTTTGGGTGAGGCAAACTTTATTTGGTGATGATGCATTTGGAATAGCAAATTGCTTTAATTAATTAAAGGCTAGAATATTAAAGCAAAGTAATTTAAGATAGTGGATGTAGATGGAAGAAAATCTTATTAGCTCTAAAAGTTAGGTCAATATAGAGAATTGGATGGTACATATTGAACAACTAATATTAAACCATGTGATGTGATCCTCTTTAGTCCAACAATTTGATATATACCTAAATATACTCCACTCTCAATATTGATTTCCCATATATATTAAAAAAAAATATTATGGGAAAAAGTGATTTAAGAGAGGCTGATTCAGAATTTAAAATTTATAAATTTCTTTAATTATTTTAAAATTAAAGCGTTAATTATTTTTTCTATTAATATTATTATTATTACACCCTCCGTCCGATATAAATGATATTGTTTGTCATGATTACTATTTTTAGAGTTAAACTATAAAAACTTTGACTAACATTTTAAGATATATTATTTCATCATATTAATATGCAAAAAAAAATTGTAATTTATAGCACTTTTCATACAGTTTTAGAATATCTATTTTTTTTGTTTAAAATATTAAATTAATTTGATCTAATTTAACTTTGAAAATTAGTCAAATTAACTTTCAAAAAGTATAATATGACAAACAATTTCGGACGAAGGGATAGTATTACTCTCCATCTATCTTATTGTTGAATTTTATTATTACTTATTGTTCCGTATAATTTATTCTAGTGCTTATTGTTTGAACCAATAATTTTTCTACTTTAACCGCTTTATCTTCACAAGACAAGAGTAAGAGAGATATACATCACCCTCGGGCCTCACTAAATCACTCTTGTGAAATTACACCAGATATATTGTTGTTTATTATTATTTAGCCTTTAGATCACGAAGAGGTAGTTGATGAGTTATGGAGACTTGTTGGAAAAAATAAGTTGGATAGTCGTACTTAAGTTTATTTTAATCTTTGATAGCAGGTTAGTTAATATATTATCAATTTATGTAATTACTCGATAGTCGATACTAAAAAAAAATTAAAAAAAAAATATATATATATATATATATATACTGTCACTATATAAAATTTTAAAACATATGTAAATAGATTAGAAATTCTTGCATGTTTACTTAGTCAAATATTTCAAACAAAACAACACTTGTCACAAATACTTCACAAATTAAATCAATGGCAACAGTACAAAAATACAGTTAGTGCCTTTCATCCATTCATTAATTCCTATAATTTTTACAATTGTTACCTTATTTTTCTCCCAACAGTTATATTATTACCTTTTTTTTTTAATTTATGTTTATATAAAGTTAAGAACATGTAACATTCTGTTTCATTTCAACACGAATTCAAATTAATCAAAAAACACAATGGACACTACTAAGAAAAAAGAGAAGAAGAAAGAGGTAATACGATTAGAACGCGAATCAGTTATTCCCGTACTCAAATCAAGATTGATCATGACACTAGCAAATTTAATCGAAAATGATTCAGATCGCGATGAATTTCTCAAGTTATGCAAGAGAGTACAATACACAATTCGCGCTTGGTACAACATTCAATTCGAAGACCTAATGGGCTTATACGCTTTATTTGACCCCGTCCACGGGTCCCAATGTCTCGATCAACAAAAATTAAACGATGATGACATAGATGAGCTAGAACAAAACTTCTTAACATACTTATTCCAAGTCATGGACAAAAGTAACTTCAAAATTGCTAGTGATGAAGAATTAGAGATCGCGAACGCAGGTCAGTACTTATTAAATCTCCCAATAACGGTTGATGAATCGAAACTTGACACTAAGCTTTTGTCCAAATACTTTGCTCGTAACCCTTGCGATGAAAAACTCCCCGAATTTGCGGATAAATATGTGATTTTTCGACGTGGAATTGGTATAGATAGAACAACGGATTGGTTTATAATGGAAAAAATCGACATGATCATCGCACGTACATGGAAATGGTTGATGAAAAGAACAGGAGGGGATAAATTTTTCGGTAAAAAAATATATAAACGTAATAAAAAACCGCGAAAAAAACGAATACCATCGGAGGAGGAACAAGATTTTTACGTAGAAAGAATTAGAATACAAAACATGGAGCTAACGTTACCAAATGTGCTTAGTAAAATCACAATTCAAGAGCCAACGTTCGAAAGAATTATAGTTATTTATAGACGTGCAAGTGAGGAGGACGAAAAACCCGATAGGGGTATTTACGTCAAACACTTGAAAAATATACCGATGGCGGATTTAGAAATTGTGTTGCCCGAGAAAAAAAACCCTAGTTTAACCCCTATGGATTGGGTACAATTTATTGCATCGGCCGTGGTAGGTCTATTCGCGGTTGTTACATCTCTTGACATGCCTCAAGCTGACGCGTGGGTCCTCTTTGCGATTTTATCGACAGTAATAGGTTATTGTGCCAAGATATACTTTACATTTCAACAAAATATGGCACAATATCAAAATTTGATCACTCAATCGATGTACGATAAACAATTAGATAGTGGAAGGGGTACGTTACTACATTTATGCGACGATGTGATACAACAAGAGGTTAAAGAAGTTATAATATCGTATTTTATACTTATGGAACAAGGTAAGGCGACGTTGATCGATCTCGATACGCGATGTGAGGAGTTGATCAAGGAGAGATTTGCTATAAGTTGTAATTTTGATGTAGATGATGCAGTGCAAAAGTTGGAGAAACTTGGGATTGTGTCTAAGGATGAAATTGGAAGGTATTTTTGTATTGGACTTAAGAGGGCTAATGAAATTATTGGATCAACTACTGAGGAACTCGTACTTAAAGCAAGACAGGCTCAGTCTGGCGTTACTAATTCATGAGCCAGATTGAATTTGGAATTCTATTTTTTTGGAATTTTTATAATGTTGTGTTAATTTTAACTATCCTTGAGAGAGCATGGTAGATGGAGTTTTATCCAAAATTTTTATTATTTCAGTTTTGTGTCAATTTGTAGCCAAAAAAGAATAAATGAGTTTTGCTTCTTTCTTTTTTTTTTATATTGATTTATCAATTCAATTATTAGTTTTTTTGTTATGTACCAACTATTTAGTGGCACTAAATATTTTAATACTAAACAAATAAAGCAAAATCAAGGAAGGAGCTTAGTCTACATTGATTATCATTAACAAATATTTTTATTCATTTGATTGTCGATTTGATGTGTTTAGAAATCTATAAGCAATAAACTATATCAATAATATAAAAGAAAAAATTGAACTAAATCAATTGAAAAACATATTTACTCGCTATTATATTATATGCTTTCAAACAATTTTGGAATTGACGAATTCATATAGTTTAAATTTCTAGTAATGATATATCGTGGGAGAACCGTTTTAACTTATATTAAATTATTTCAATTCATATTATTTATCTCAACCCTCATATGCTTAAACTCGCCCCGTGATACACTCATTTTGTTACATTCCATATATATATATATATATATTTTCATGTCTCTTAACACAATATACTAAGTTTTATCTCTAAAAAGTTCAAATTCCAATACAATGTGTTTGAAGTTTTTCGTGTTTTAGCTAAGTATTATTTTGTTCTCTTTTTCCCTTGGCATTAAAAAAATAATACTTTATAAATTCAACTATTTTTCAATCATAGACCCAAAAAATTGGCTAGAACACACCATCTTTATCAAATCTATATAGTTACAAAAATGTTATAACATATTTAAAATAAAAAATTATTTACTTAGATCACATAAACTACTAGTAAACAAAAAAAAACTAATCACGTGAAAGCTATACATTTTACTTTTAAAAAAATATATATTTTTTCAAATTACAATAATTTAATTTATTCAACCACCATCACACACACGTCATTACCTTCACCATGAGTATTTTTTTTTTTCAATTATAGAGCCCAAAAAATAGCTAGAACACACATTTTTATATAGTCACAAAAATATTGTAACATAGGTAAAATTATAAATTTTGAAATTACTTATTTACGATACTTTGAAATCTCCACCACAATATATTTTAATTTCACATAAATATGAGTTGAACAAGTGGCAAAAACTACTAGCCACATGAAACTAAACATTTTCCTTTAAAAAAAATATATAGTGAAATTACTATTTTTTCAACCATCCACCCTCCGTCACCATCTCCACCACAATCTATCAATTCGCGTTTTGACCACCTCCATGACCTTGATAACTCCCTCCTCCGGCATCAATAGCTATGGTGTTTAGTGCCGTTGTGGCGATGACACTAGCCACAACGGTAGAACCACCATTGTCATTGTTCCCATGCATGGTCTCTCCACCATTATCTCCATCGGTTGTTGCATCATATGTCTCACGGGTCGATCCTCTAACTTTTGTACGCGCCTCAATGTCTGTAGGCGCGCTATTATTTTTATCGTTGTTTTGACAAAACGTAACGAAAATAACTAAGATGATGAATGCACAAAGGAGAACGATGCTTATCATAGTATACACCACCATATTGTAACTTATTTCGTTTATGGGTTTTGAGGAATTTGAATTTGAATTTGTGAAATTTTAACTAGTGTTATTTAACTAATTATGGAATTTCTTATTATGATGACAAGTGGGTAATGGATAAATCCCTTTAAATTTTTTAATGGGATAATAATACTTTTGGCGTATCAATTACTTTTTTATACGTATATATAAGAAAATATTATCATTGACAACAAAAACACAAATTCATGAAATGTCAAATTTAGTCCCCTAAATGAGTAAACAATAATAAAATAAATAACCAAGTCAAAATTGGACTAAACAATTGCTAAATTAGTTTACACATTAATTCCCTCATTTTCTCTTTGGCTTCTTTGATTGTTTTCCCTTCTTATTAACTCCCAAGTATTTATGAACCTCTTGATCGTCACCATCATCTCCACCACCTCTGTGTTTCCTTTTCCCACCAGTTTCTTTGATTTTCTGCATCAACACCCGTCGCATATGTTTTAATTAGAATCTAATAACACAAAAAGTAGTGCATTTTTTGAGGATCTGACTCAAGTGTGGCAATATTTTTGGAGTCGAGCAATATAGTGTATCAGCATGCAAGCATCATGAATATGAGCAACTATAAGATACTCGTGGAGAAAGTCGTTTACATGTATGTCACCTCGAACAACATTCTCTGACTGAGAAAAGCACATAAGAGACGCATGTTGTGAATGATGGCCAGACCTAACTCCAATACACACCTCAAAGCAAAATATGTTTCGCACTACTAGCTCTACCTTGTGACATTAACACGCGAGCCTAATGAAAAAGGTGAACAAGGAGAATTCAACTAGTATTTTATGAGCCTGTTTGGATTGGCTTATAGCTTATGCCTTATATACAAGTCAAAAACCATAAGTTAGGATTTCTAACTTTTGATTTTTGGCTTAAAAGCACTTCTTTATTATATTCAAACACGAAAACAATGCTTAAAAGCTATTTTAGCTTTAAAACACCTAAAATAAGCCAATCCAAACTGTCTTGTTATAAAAGGGAAATGAATAATAGTAATAGGGTTCGTTGCACTTTATTTAATTGGCTGAAGTAAGAGCTTTAACCCATGCATCCACAAGTTAACCACCTAGGTGGCAACTTAAGTAACCCCCTCCTGCCCCCATCCCCTAGAAAAGTAAAACACCGAAGAGAGAAATACCATCAATGAGATCCTTTTGGCTTCTGTGACACGCTCCAAGAGTAGCAAAACCTCCTCTTCCTCTGCGGGATACTCGGGTAGTTTCTTCCCTGGAGATTATCAAATTTTAGTTTGGAAAACAATACATAGCAGCGGGTAGACTAGAAGGAACACAAGGAGGAGGGGGGGGGGAGGGTACTAGAGTCTCGGAAATATTTCTGTATTTCATACCAATAAGCTTTTCTATCTGTATATACCACTCCAACTCATACTGATTTACTAATGATATGGCAACCCCGGAACGTCCTGCTCGTGCAGTTCTTCCCACTCTATGTATATAATCCTGCAAGCAATGCATATAGTGATAAGCTTAAATCGCACCAGAAAACAAAATTAAGATATTCAGATTGAATTGATGAGTATCAACTCAAGTATAGATAAATCCAGGACCACCCCAATGAAAACAGCATAACTTTACAAGCAGGAAGAATAGCAAGATCCACCTTTGAGTTTGTTGGAATATCATAGTTGATAACCATATCAACAGACGGTATATCAAGTCCTCGACTGGCCACATCAGTGCATATAAGGATATTGCACTCTCCGGCCTTAAATTTGTTTAGAGCTCCAAGCCTTTTATCCTGACCAAGTAAAATATGATTATTATTTTTTTGGGTGTGCGGGTGGGGATGAAATAGAACCAGCAAAGAGGAAATTGTGAACCTGTTAAAATATGTTTTAAGTATGAGAGTATACCTGAGTCATCTGACCACTAATTGGTATGGCTCTCAAGCCTAGGTTGCGAAGCATCAAAGCCAGAAGACGAGTTGCATCACATGTGCGAGTGAAAACCATAGATGTACTGCCAGACATCTCAGTCAGAATATAGATAAGATAGCAGTCCTGTGAACCATGGACAAATAATAAAGTCAGACCAGAAGTCATTATTTCATAATTGAAATAGGACCATAAATCATAATTCAGTAGACCAAAGCAATTACATCTTTAGCCCATCAGGTAGAGGGTCTTTTAAGTTTATTCCTTCTATATGGTCTCTAGCATACAGTCCCACACGATTACCAGGCATTAGATATATTATCCTTCTGATAATTTTCAATGCCTAAACAAAAGGATTTCCTATTATGGATCTACAAAATACTGTTATACATCTTGCTGGGGAGCAACCCGTACATAAGATCTCAAAAGAAGGTCTGCTCACCAGGGAAAGAGGGAGAGGCCAACCAAAGATGGCATATTTGAGGGGACAGTCCGAGGACAGGGGGATATACATTTTCTTTGTTATATCTGCTCTACCCTCTTGTTCGTGGGAAAAGGTAATGGAGGCACTAGTATACTGCTAAGTTCCTGGAGTAATAGTTCTACTAATAATGCAAAAAATTGATTAGGGCTAGAAGTGTAAGAAAGCCCATAGCTGAGACTACAATAGTTCTACTAATAATGCAAAAAAAAAATTATTAAGGATAGAAGTATAAGAAAGCTCATAGCTGTGACTACAAATCTAGTAACTTGCTTGATTAGGAACATATAAAGAGATCCATCTGCCTAAACAGATGTTTAACTGCATATGCCTTAACTGCGGCAAGCCCTATATGTGGCCTGACCTCTAAGTCAGTGGGATTATGTTCACTTCAATAATCAAGAGTTGCAACTACTTAAAATGCTTTCATGATTAATACTTCTGGGAAAGCTAAAAATATGAACCTTGTAAAGAGTGATTCGCTGTGCTACTTAGTTTTTTTATCTAGTAAAGAAGGTTCACTGAAGATGCATCAAGAAGATGTTGCACTCTTCATGTTAGTTATTACTTTGTAACACTAAACAACACAATCATTATGATCACGTCTCCCCTCTTTTATCCACGTAATTGTTTCTTATTTTAGTGGTGTCAAAATGCCAATGTACATTCTTCAGCGATATAATGATCATTATTGGAGAACACAGCACCACATATAATGATCTGTTGTAAAAATACACTAAATGTCTGGACAATTTTGCTGCTTAAGCAGAAAATATTGAACTCATCGATTATAATCAAACAAAATGAAACATGCATGGAACATCATTATTAAGCCAATTGCCACTTGTGTTGCTTTTTTCCAACAAAACTAAAATAGAATCTCGTCACTGAAAAATTAACCTTATATTTAGCAGGAAGAAAACGATACTGCTGCTTCAGTGTATCAACGGTGGAATATTTAGATGCAGCTTCAATCTGAAAGAAATTATAAACAAAGTTATGGAAAATACTCTTGAGCACCTAAAATCCTCTGGTGACAATTGACATTGTTGTACCTTAACAGGATTTCTCAAACAAGCCCTCTGAAGTTTCCGCACCTGTATTT